ACCGATGTAAAGAATTCCGACGCAAGGGGGCCTTCATGAAAAAGCTCGCTTTGCCCCTTGAGCTCGCTGCGATGTGCAGAGAGACTTCGACCCAAACTGTGCTACTTGGTCAGGTGGCCCCGGCAGAGAAGGGTTGGAGCCAACTCTTGGGGTTGAGCATGCTTTGGCGGTTGGACCCCACTACACCAAAAAAAGATGGGACAAGCGTGGAACCCACTGAACAACTCCCCCCCCCCTCTGCCTCGCTTAGATCAGCGGCAATGCTGCGAAGCCGACTTCACAGGTGCCAACATGGTTGCGAGGAGGATTTTTGGGCTTAAGGCAGCACAGGAGAAAAAAAAAGATTGGAGCTCTCCGGGTCGGACATCCTACCCCCAAGTCCAGCCATGGCGCAGGCTGTGCGGCAGGGCGCAAAGGCTGCTCGGGCTATCCTAGCCGTGAAGAACCGGAAGACCCTACTCTTCGGAGTCCTTCCTTCCACAATAGCTGGGGGGCCGTGATTTTCCAACCCACCGATTTCCCCCCGAGAGCTCTGCGAAGGGCTCTTCCGGTAGGATCGTCTGCTTCTTGCGCAAGGGATAGACTGCAGAGTGACGCAAATGGTAGGTAGCACAGAAGACTTGGTCTGCTCGCAGAAAGGCAGCCCACAGAGAAGCGTAGATAGATAGCGCAGAAGAGTAGGTAAGGTGATGGGGCACAGAGCGACAGAGAAGTGCGCAGAAAGATCATAGAGAAGCGAACAGAGAGGACGCGCTGAGATTTGACAGAGATCTTATTTTCACCTACACATTAGAGATCATGCCGACGTGCTACAGGCAGCACATTGATTGCAAGTTCATGTGAGATAACACGTGAGGGATGTTTTTGCACGCTAGGTGGTGCAAGTTGCCGGGGCTACGGAAGAGTCGCGCCCCGCACTTCGCATTCTTGCAGCTCGAATTGCCGGGTCCACGGGCGATGCCCAAAGTCGCGTGCTTTTTTTCCGCAAGCATTTGGGGTCCTGCCCGAACGCAGAGAATCTTCAGAGAAATCGCGTGGAAAACTTGCTCAGGTCAAAATGTGCGCAGCACTTGCACGAAGAGCTTGCACAAAGGACTTGTGCAAAGAAAGCCTGACCACGATCATGCCGTGTCGCTGTTTTTTGTGGCGTGCGCATACTCTTTAAGCGTGGGCTCACGCTCCGAAACTTGCACCCCAACAAACAGGTGGATCGAAAACCGAGTCTCACCCCGAAAACCCATCTCTTTGGCGAAAGATTGTCTGGCTTCCCTTTCAACCCAACCAAAAAAAGGAAGAACAAAAAAATAAGGACACACGCCGTGATACTGGGACAGTGATATTGATACGGTTGACACTATGAACTGAGACGCCGTGCAGTGGCGTATGTGATTGGACAAGGTACAGCTGGCTATGTGGCTATGCAATTGGCCGTGATACTGACACGGTGATATTGACAAAATCATACTGAGTCAATGTATGTGATTGACAGTGTGGTATTGGGGCAGTGACACATCTTTGCGCCTTGTTTTGGGTGAAAGCTCAAGTACCCCTTTATAGAGGGTAAACAGGAACCACCCCCTTAACCACTAAACCACCAATCCAAGCCACCAATTAGTGGGAAGCCGAGAACAGTTCGGTGAAACAAGAAAAACTGCGCCCTTAGAAGTGCCGTCTTTGCCATCCGAAGTTCTGCGCCCCCGGCAATCTTCTGCGGGATCTCAATGGAGGCCGCGCTTGCAGTCTGGGTGTGGTGCCTCGGGACCTAGGCATCAGGCCGTCCGTGTGGAGACGGACGGACGGAACCCAAAGGAAGACAAGCGATTCCGATTTGAGCTATACCTACCTCAACACGCCCCGTACATTTAACAAGGGAAATCATGCGTCCAGAGCGGACCGCACAAGTCACCCCATTGGGTGGCGGTATTCTGATGATGGCTTCCTAAGTTCGAACAGGTGAGAACAAGCTGATCTCAGATATGGAAGCAAGTTTGAAGATTTGACTGCCAGGATTCTGCAAACATTACCACAGAAAAGGAGGTCTTTGCATTCACCATGGAAACCTAATACGCCCAAGAAAAAATGGTGCTTGGAGTTGGGCGCACTTCCCATGATTTGGAGGTTTTGGCCAACGGCCCTGCTACTGTTCAGAAGACTGCCCTGGAACGGATCACGTCCAAGGGAAACTACTACTGAGCAGGGTTCTGCAAAATCACAGGTTGAATGTCGACAACGGATTAATCAATCTAGTATGCTACTAGATGCTGTCCCGCCACCCAGAGAAAAAAGTGAAGACTCCCTTTAGAAGGCGACACCCGTCTCAATCGCGACAAAGGCAATCAATTCAGGAATCCCCAAGTGAAGGGCCTTCGCGTCCGAAATCCGAAGTTGGAAGGAGAGATTGTCCGAAACTTGCCCCAAAATGGTTGCTTCCCCGGAAAAGATATCTCTTGGATTTTTAAAAGAAGCCTCAAGGCTTGAGACAAAAGACATGTTACCCCAATGTACCGCTTTTCCCTTGGGCGGGGCCGGACCCTTCAAGGAAGGCAGCCAAAACCGGAGAAAGCCGGCAGCAACTCTGGTAAAATCCCCCTAGAAACTGGTCAAATTCCGAAACCAGTCAATCCCCTCCAAAAAGCCCAGAGACCGGTCGCCCTACAAACCAGTCAAACTAAATTCCCCTCTAGAAACCAATCCAATCCCCCTAAAACCGGCCGAACTCCGGTCAAACCCCCCTGACGACCGATCAAATCCCCTAGAAACCGGTCAAGTTCCCCTCCAGAAGCCCGTCAAATCCCCTTCAAAAAACCAATCCCTCGCTCAAACGAACACCACACCTCAAGGCAAATCAAAACACAGCACCTCAAAGCCAGCCAAAACCATGCTGGCCGAGGTGGGCAACGCGAAGTGTTTACAATTATGTGGCCGAGGCAACATAAGAAGGAACAAGCCTTTTGTGTAACTCTACGACGGCTGGAGTTGCAAGTCGGGTCTCAAAAGCTGGAAATCGGTGAGAGTCCCCGATCGCCCCTTGAGCGCGTCCGATGAGATCTGCACCAGCTTTTGGGTGCCAACTGTTGAGGGTATTTTTTCTACTCCCGGTTGCTTAGTTTCTGCTCCCCTGCTAAAAGTTTAACTTTTTGTGGTTTAATGGAAAACCCATTAGTTGGCAAAAGTTAAAGTCCTAGCATCCCTTGGCAACATGCACCAAAGTACTTAGGTTGCTTTTAAGGGCAACCAAAGGGACAATCGCCACGTCTCCGGCCTCTACAATGATCTGCAACTCCGCTGACTCCAGGCGAAGATCTGTGAAACACCCGTCTTTGGCTCGGTCCTCCGTATCCGCCGGTTGCATGGGATGTTGGTTTAAGCCAAGCCCGGATTCTCGGATTGAGCGCGTCATGGGTCCAAGTCTGAGTTCCTCTTGCGTGGGACACACACCCTATCAACCGGGGTTTTTGAATCCTGGGTCAACATTGCCTCCTTTGGGATTTCCCTTTAGAGGCGACCAGGCTCAGCGACCCCTGGAAAACTTGCAACCACTCTTGTCAGGCATTCGTCTTTCCACAAAACCACACAAAAAACGGCCGAAACACCTGGTTTAGAAACAACGATGATTGAAAATGTTTAAGCAGATTTCGCCCCATTCCTTACGCGTGCCGGTCTCAACCTCGCCATTCGGCGAGCCGTAGATCACTGGCACGACCCGTGACATGCTCAAGCCCGAGACATGCTCAAGTCTTGAGCCTGAGACAGCAATGCGGCGAGACTCAAATCAAGCACAAACCTCCAAAGCAACTCGCAAACATGGTCACGGAGTATCATGGTCAGGATGATCAGGTATACGTCTAGGCATGCCAGCTAATCTTAAAACATGCATTGGAAAAAATGCTAGACTAACTCCTAAAAATATATGCCTAAATTGTATCGACCTAAGCTTCTCTTGTTGGAGAAGCATGCCGTCGAAACTCCTGTGGGCCACGGGCATGATGTTCCCGTACAAGGAAGTGTCATGACCGCAAAGTCCCTATGCAAAGGCTACGTGACCATCCCTGGTAACCCCAACCAAGCTGGTGTTTTGACCACCCATGTGGTAGCCCGTGTGAAAACTGAGTCCGACCAAATCCCTTCCCATGCATCCAGCGGTTCCAGACATTTGGGAAGAAATCGCCTTTCATGGGAAAACTGGGTTTGGCCTGGTCTTTCTTGTGCGGTTGTCTCTCACCAGCAGTTGACCGATCACATTGCAATGTCAGCTGCTCAAACAAGGGCACGCCACGGTCACGACTTGTTCCACGCGAAAGAAATCCAAGTGTCATCCATCCCACATGGTGTTCAATTTGTGGAGATTGTCTAGGTCCAGTGGAGAGCTTAGAATAAGGGTACCGACTTTTTTTCTGTAGTCTATTTTAGAGGAATCCTCCCCCAAAAAGAAACGCTTAAAGAAACGGCACCAATCGCTGGACCTAGTTGTCCATGATGTCCATGTGCTTACGGGAATCATTCCGACGCTTCAGTCCCTCCCAGCTCACTGGGCCGGCGGAGAAACGCGACTTGCCCAGGCTCCCGGTTTTTACGTCAAGGAACTTCGGGGCCATTTCTGCAATATGGTAGTCTGGAAAAGGACCACCCTGTTAGCCGATGCCTTCACAAAAAGAATGTGATTTGAATGAACTGCAAAGCCCTGCTCCATCCCATTCTCCAACAGATCCCCATTCGAAAGGGAACCGCATGCCCGGCCTCGCTTACAAGAAAGGGCTTCTGTGTGGCTCTAACGCTTAATGGAAACCACCTCAAAAGCGGTTGGTGGACTTGAGTCCCCAGCTGAATGATGTCCACCAAAGTATCCCCCTATTATCACACGCATATATATATATATATGTATGTGTCCAGGCACACAGACATGTATTTCGTGAACTCAAGCCTTCCAGGCAGGGGCACTTCTGTCGCAGTGAACATTCTGCCTTCGACCCGTCTTCGACCCGATCGATCGCTCCCTTCGCCTGAGCACTTCGGGGCTCTTGAACGCAGCCTGGAAGTTCTCCAAAGCCTCGATCTCGAGGCAGAAGATGTGCGGCTCGCGAGAGAAAACCCCAGGACGGTACCGAGATCCGAAACGAACAGGAAAAAACTGAGTGAGAAAATCAAATCAGGGGTGGGGGCGCACTGATAAAAGGGAAAGTACGAGTTGCAAAAGTTCCGGTTTCTGAGCACAGATGTTGGTCATCTTTGGCCGGTGCAGGCAAAACATGACAAGTCGCCAAAAATGGTTTCCCTTTGAACTCCATTTCACTTCCAAAGGGTTTGGCGCACTTTGGAGAAAAATCAGCTTCAGCTCGAATGCGGGGTTGGCACGCAGGTCCGGGACAGTCAGGGTCCCGGCTGGGGATTTGGACGAAGAAACTAGTGCCCAGTGGGATATACCATCACCGCTCGCAAAGCTAAAATAACAAACACTTCCAAGGGCTCGGAGAAACTGGGGCACATGGCTTACGTTTTGAGGCGCAATCGCCCTTGGGTGAGTTCAAAGGGAAACCCAAAGGAACGTGGAAATCCATTTTGGGGTTGAAACCCTGAGGTTCTTGGAAGAAGGAGTGTCAACAAGCCACTAGCCAAGGTTTCATGTCTGTGTGTGTATGTTTGACCCGGCATTTACCGTATTTTCAGGCCCAAGTTTTCTCGAACCCTGGGGCTTGATCCCACCTCGTCACTCCAGGCCCCCCGGCCGCCTCGCCGACGCGCCGCGAGCCCTGGGCGCTCGCATGATGCCACAGCCGTGGCAAAAGGTCGTACGTTTGCACTCCCACAGCCCGGCCCAGAGAAGCGCCCCGAAGAACAAAACAGAGACATGAGCCAGTGTCCAGCTTGAGAGCTGCTTCAGCCATCTCCATCCCTGGGCACCTGCCAATTCCAACAAAGAGTTGCAGCGGAAGCTCAGTCGCATCAGTCGCATGAGAAGATACTGTTGGGGTAAAAAAAAAAAACGTATACATCATGATAATAGGACAAGCATGCGCGAGTAGACCCTTGTGCAACAGGCAGAAGATCCTGGAACCTGGTCGCCGAAAACCGCCCGTTCTGTGAAATGGACGTAGCTGATTCCAATGACTTGAGTATCCCCTAAAACGCCTCTGCCTCGCTATAGAAATTGGCCTGCCAGAGCAATGTCCCGGCAAAGCTCAGTGTACGTACCATCGGCATGCACTTCAGCAGGATCCTTTTTGAGACCGCTGGGATAACTCCCCCAGGTTGGCAACGTCGAAACCTGAGAAGGACGTGCTTTGCCGATGTCCACGTTCAGTTTGTGGAACGTCCCTCACTCCAACACGGAGCAAACAAGCAGGAGAAACCCAAAACAAAGAACCCAAACAAGCAACTGACCGAAACGGCTCTCAAAAAGCATTCTGAGAACCTGCCTCGGGGGTCCAATTTGGCCTCTTTGCATCCTTTTTCATCCCAACACGAGCAACTCGGAATCCACCAACCAACCCACCCACACACCCACCCACCCACCCACCCACACACCCACCCACCCACCCACCCACCCACCCACCCACCCACCCACCCACCCACCAACCAACCAACCAACCAACCAACCAACCAACCAACCAACCAACCAACCAACCAACCAATGCCAACCAACTTACCAACTATTTTCAAGCCACCAGGCCCGCAGAAAAAAAGCAAATCGCCGCCAACTTTTGATATTTGCGGAGACCCGAAGCTCGTCTTCTGGGACCGCGCCTTCGTGAGCGCCAGGAGCCAGCTCTTGTGCGCGCCCTCGCATGGGATGGGTCATCTGAAACCGGTGAAACCCGTGAGATTGGGGGTATTTCACGTGGCCTGGGACGATCCTAAGGTAAAACCTCAGGATGGTGGTGTTTCACCTGGGGTCCTAAGGTAAAACCAGGGATTTTGCGGGTAGGACCCAAGGCAAAATTCACATGGCCTCATGGGTCCTAAGGTAAACCCAGGCTTTTTCGGGTAGGACAAGGCTAGCGAGTTGGGGCGAGGCCATTTGGACAGATGGGGATTGGACTTCCCTTTGGCTCATGTCTTGCCATGGTGCTGGAGCTTTCCGGAGAGCCGCCCGAGGCTTCAACCCGTTCATCTGGGAAGTTGATGTCCCTCGTTTCAAGTAGACTCACCCATAGAGCTGGGTGCTTCAACTCTGTGCATGCTCAACATTGCCGGAAGTTGTTCTGGACAGAAAGTCAACAGCGACTGTTTTTTTGGGCGAGCAGACCTATTTGTGGAGGTTCTCTGACTGGAGTCCTTGTAGGAGTCTCTCAAAATACATGGTGCGGCGACCCCCTTTTGGTAGGCATGCTTAATCGGACACCAGCAAGAAATCAACCATTTCAGGAGATGCATCCCCATTTTGAGCCCCCCCCCCCCGCCGAAAAGACCCCCGCAGTTGCACGCGGCGGTTGCGATTCGAAGCCATTCGCCTTCATGGCAAAGCTCTGCGTAAGCTCCTCCAGCACACGCACGGCCCGGGCGGCCACCTGGCGTAGCCGCCCAATACGTCGCTTGGCAGATCCAGCAAAAATGGGCGCAGAATAAACTCGAGGGTGCCCCGTTGGAAAAGGAGGTCCACAAGGAAAACCACTGATTTTGAGGGTCCCCTAAAAATGTCACACCCAACAAACCCCTCAGTTCTGAAACATCAAAACCGAAGCACTTGAAATGGGGCGCCCACTTCAAAATCGGACCGAATTACTGGAAATTGTTTTCCCAAGAAAATGGGCAGAGGGAAACTCAGGGAGGTCATTTCGACGCTCGTGAGCTTAGTTGCTTTCCCAGTACCCTTAGGAAGCCTTGCGTTGGTTGTCATCCCTTCCAACGCCCAAGCGATGCCCTTTGCCCTTTGCGCTTGACTATGACCATAAGGCCAGGGGCAAAGGGCACCGTTTGGCAAGGGTTCTGTTCTCACTCGGCGACGCTAGACGTTGACCTATTGTGTGCACCTAAATCTGAAGCCACCCCGCCAGGTCCCGGACGTAACAAACATCTTGCGTATGATTCGAACATATCAACTGAGCATAACAAGTACGGGGCCCAACCGAGTCTAAGCTACGCGAACGATCAGAAAGAGCCTGTCACTCTAATGACTCTGTCTCTTGTTGTGGAGCATCATTCAAGGTCCAAAAGAAATGTCCAACTATCTTTGAAATTTAGAGCAATCCAGGGCCCAAAACTCCAGGGAAACGAGCACTCCACTCTTTTGATGGGGCGCAAACACCGAAACAGGTCTCGAATTCCTCAAGGAGTTGCCGGGGCAAATCTTTTTGGAGCTCAGAAAATAGGTTCTGTCCCTTGTGCGCGGTTTGGTCCCCATTTGGGTTTGCTTCAACATCAAAATGGGGGTCCGATTACCATTTAAGCTACGAAAGGATGTATGTTTGACCAATCCACTCAAGTGAAAAGCAGGTTGGGTAGAATCAACGACGCAGGTTACACGGGTTTTCTCAAAATATGGAACCATATTTGGTTTCCCACCACAAAAACCAACGGTTGGCAGCCCCTAAAAACACGACATACCCACAAAAACCCTTTAAAACCAGCAGGGGTTGGCAGCCTCTCCTCGAAAAAATTGGACAGACCCACACACCCGGCACCCGCTCACTGGAAATCCCTCTCCTGGTCCAGCTCTTTGGCTGGCAGCTGTGATCCTGCCAGAATTTAACTTGGCGCGGCTCGCCCCGAAACCGGCGCGGGGGCGTGGGGGCTTGGGACATTTGCGGAAGCCAAACAGAAGCCGGCTCCTTCAGGAGAGGATGAGCTGCCCGTCCTTCAATTTGATTCAAACCAAGATGGTCCTTGCAGGTGCGCAGCACAAAAACCCCAAAAACGATCCCCGGGCCCAGGAACGCCTCGGCGAAGCAATGCATTGCTGCCGCCGGTGAACGCCAATGGAGGCACTGGTTCGCCAAAAAAGCGGCTGGCTTCGCAAACCGGGAGACGGTGGAAAAGGCAGCACAAAACGGGGGATATGAGCATTATACATACACAGCTTACAAGGTTTGTACCCCATTTCGGTAGTAGGGGAAGTGGTTTGTGCTGGAAACCCTCTTCCGAGGTTCCATCTAAAAAGTACATGAATCTTCGCAAATCCCGGCCAAAATGTGGCGGTGTCCCAGAATTGGGGAGAGGGAAACTCGCACAATGAGAGGTCTCCTCTTGGTGTCCCTTTAAGATTGAAACGAGGAAAGAGGGCCCCATGTGTGCGTGTCGTTTTTGGGGGGGAACCCTTTCTTGGCGGGTTGTTCTTTAAAGGGAAATGTGAGTCCCATGTCCTATTTGCTTGCTCGTGCTCAGTAGGGAATGACCAGTTCCCGGGTGTTGGGAATGAACCGTTTGGTGATTCCCGTAAGTCGCAATCCACTCGTTGGATGGTTTTTCAGGGGGCATTCCATTCCCATTCTCCGCCTATCGAGCACCAGCAAGCTTGAGACAAAGCGGTTGTTTCGTCACGACGACGTGGCCGGCAAGAGGCCTCGTGCCCACCAAATCTGGGCGTTGCAAAGGTGCTCGCCGTCCCCCGAGAGGTCCTGACAAAACAAAAAAAAAGCTGACCAACTTGAAATCAAGCAAGGGGACCCTGAACGCAGTCCCCTCAAATGGTGGTTGTTTTTTGGGGAGGGGGGGGTGCGTTTAAATACCCACCAAACAGCGGGGGGAACCGCCGCCAAACAGCGGGAAAAACCGCTGTTTCGCCCCGCCTCCTCCAGCGTGCTATAGCAGCCGGGCCGATCTTCCGGCCTCGGCGCGGACTCCCGACCCCCTCCTCGACTTCTTTAGGGTCAGGTATCCTTGCCACCGGAGAAACACAAGGATTCCCCGCCCCGAAATGGGCGTCCACTCTAAAGGACAAGTCGGAAGCGAATTCGCTGGTTCTTTCTGAGCCTTTCCCCTTGCGCGACAAAAGGATTGCAAAAAGCGCGGTGAGTCCTCTTGGATTCCCTGTAAAAACCAACCAAACAGGGGTTCCGGGAAAAAAAAAAAGGAAAAGCACCACACCCAAATGCTTGGCCGTGCCAACTTGTGGGTGTTGTCGGATGCGGAAAACTCGGGGGTTCCGGCACAAGGTTCCCGCAGAAGCCGGGAATGATGTTGCCAACTTGTGTCTCATGAGTTGGATTCCCTGGCCGGTCCAGGGTGTGTCTTTGTTTTGGGGAACCCCTGTTGGTTGCTGTCCAAGGGAAACCAAAAAGGAAACCAGCCAAATTGTCGGTGGGTTCCCAAAAAAACACCCTCATCCTCAAGTGTCCATGCCAAAACCGAAACAGATCGGATCGATTTGGAATGCCAAAGCCTAACGGATACCACAAAATCCACATGGCCGCTTGCTGTGGGACCATCCTATGCTGACCTGAAAACCCGGTCACTCCTTTCACTCACTCCCACACTCGCGGGCTCAGACCCTGTAAACTGACCTCCCCCAAAAAAAAGGCCTGCCTCGGCGTTGCCCCGACCATTGTTGTTTGTGTCTGGTTCATATTTAGTGGACCTCAACGTGCAAAGAAGAAAGGTCAAGGAAGCGGCCTTGGAAGCCGAGACGGGGCTGCGTGCAGATTTCTGAACAAAAAAGCGTTGTCTAAAGTCCATCAACTCTATCCAAAACAGGGAAAAGAAGAGCTTGAACCCTACATGAACAACAAATGGGTTCTCGTGTGACACAGAAATATGATAACTGGAACCTTAGAGCCCCTTGAAACGGGGTTCCCGGCAGGGCCACAGACAAATATTTTGATACTCAGCCGATGGGACCCTATGAGCCTGTCAGATTTTGATAACCACTTCCCACCTTACCATGATCCTTGTTCCAACTTGACACTCGCTGACCATGGGATGAGACTTTGTGCAACTTGACCTATTCTTTAAACCTTTTCTCGGCTCTGTAAAGGGGACCGCTTGGTGGCTGAAACAAGTTGTGCAACGGGCTGGCTGAAACATGTTGAGCTCGCACTTCCCAAGTAGATTCACCCAAGGGCTGAGCTTCTGGCGTAGCTGGTCCAAAAAGTCTCAACTTGTAGCTTACCACTAAATCGATCTTCCCAAAATGTTGTTCCAGGCGCTTCCCGCAGAAAAGGCGCACCCCGAACCAACACGAATGTGTTCTCCCCACTCCAAGTGAGCCGGATCACCTCTGGACCAGTGAGCCACCTCCATGGGACCATCAGAACCAACGGTTGATTCGGGGTCAACATTGGCTCATGGATGAAAACCGATTTGAATAATCACTGGCAGAAACCATCCAGCAGCAGGATGTTGCTCTCACAGTACTCACCAATAGTTCGTTTGAGCGGTCCAACTTTGGCGGGAAACAGTGGAACAAAGGAACCACAGACTTAGGCGGTTCCCCAAATGCCACAAGCCGGCCGCAACTGGCTGGGTCTCAGCAAATCCGGGAATGACCCCGAACTGAACCACGCCTCGTGGAAATTCCAGGTCAGCCCAAATGGGTGGCGCGTCTTTTTTGTGGGTGCCCCCCTTTTGTTTTATGTGGCTTTAAGGGGAACCTAAGAGGGAAACCGTTTGGCCATGTGGCGGGTCCACATACAAGAAGACACGCCCAGATGGTTCATTCCCAACACCCACAATTTTTGACTGAGAACGGCCAAGCACCCCGCATCTGCCGGAACGGATTCTCCAGCACGTCCACCAGGACCTGCGCCTGCCAATGAGCCACTCGCTACAGTGAGGCCCCCCCTGTCAAGGGCATTTCCAAACATTTTTACTTGTGTACCTCGATTTCTTCATGCCAACCGTATGCTAGCTCCTCTTTTGCCCCTCACATGGCGCTGTTCCTGGAAGTCACGCCCAGGCTAATTATCCTTCCACCCACCAAAAAAAACAAGTGTTTCTTGATTCGAGTGAACCTTCGTCTGTATTGTATGCCAAAAGAGATTCTAGAAAGGTGCTGCTATTGATGCGTCGTGCTAGCTTCGGTGAGCGTCTGTCATTTTAAAGGATATGATGATGATGATGATGATGATGATGATGATGATGATGATGATGATGATGATGATGATGATGATGATGATGATGATGACGATGACGATGACGCTGATGCTGATGATGATGATGATGATGATGATGATGATGATGATGATGATGTGGAAATTCATTTGCAACAGGTCAGTCCAAGTCTCAACAGTTGATCGTCACCTGTATCGGCTGTCCACGCAGCGGTCAGCCCTGCGGTCAATTGGCTTGACTGTTGACAAATTGCAAAAAGGCCACCCTCTCCGCGTTTGTAAGTCGTAGCTTAAACACAACCTCAGGTGCACAAGGTGATGGGGTGCTACCTGTTTCCAACACTCATGGAAGTGGACGTTGCGGTTGAGACCGTTCAAGAGGATACCTGTTAAGAGCCGTGCCATCGACTTCGACTCGTTGCCCTTGACCCGGAGCTGTTTCCCGTCTTCCTGTTGAAAGCTGGGCGACCAGGAAACACGAATTGGCCGAATGCCATCTGCACTACTCGAATTTCCAAACTGGAATTGATGGACTGTTGGGGGGAACTTCGATGGGGAGAATCGCTCGTTTCCCACTTTTTATCATCAGGAATCAAAGCTTGGCCTAGTGTTTGAGCTTGAACCAGACACTGTTGCTTACACAATCTCCTTTTGGTCGCACTTGAGCAGGCCAGCATAGGTGTGGTTTTAGGGGAAATAGATGGCCCGGGCAGATGATTAAACCTCCAGGTAAACCAGGAATCGCCATCTAGTTTTCGACCAAAGACGGTTGGTTGGTTCACGGGCCCCTGATGCCACCCAACCCCATGGTCCTTAGCCCCCCCCCCCCGCAGCCTGAAACAGCTGCTTCAGGATAAAGTCCTGAGATCCAGAGCGAAGATCGCGGCAGCGCTGGGTAGGTATGTGGGAGGAGGGGCAAACCGCAGGTCTTGGTCCATGTTTCCATTTATCAGGGTTCCGTTTGGGGTACCTATTCTTCAGCCACATGTGTCACAATAGGGTCCCTGAACCCAAGACAATCGTGGGTGTCTCGGTAGGCTTGTCTTCATAAAATAAAAACGGGAAGCCACACAAATGGGGAGGGCCAAAACATGTGGGTTTCTCTTGTGGTGTCCCTTTGAGAGGTGAAAACGGTAAGCACAAACCACACACACACACACACGTCCAAGAGACAGCCACAGTTTGAGACATCTGGTGAGGCTGGAATCAGCATAGCCCGACGTCGTCTGGTCATTGAAAACAAACTGTGCGAGTGAGGGAAAAAATGAGCGGTCAGAAAGTACACGCAAAGAGCAAACGGGGCCTCCACCTGCAAACGCCCAATCCCAGTGCTCGTGCTCACAACTCAAGGATCGCGCAGCTCAACTTTCACTGGTCGAGGATAGTAAAGATTGGTCGCAAGCAGCCTTATGTGGCAACAAAAGAAACAATGCAAATCATCTTGTGCGCTAAGGACAAAGACAAGCAATAAGAAAGGGAAATAAGAAAGGGAAATAGACAAAAAAAGATTCAAGAAAGAGAAAACTAGTAAAGAAAGAAAACTAGTAAAGAAAGAAAACAGGGAACACATAGATATAAAGGAAGCGAACCAAAGAAAGGAAGAAAGAAAGAAAGAAAGAAAGAAGGAAGGAAAGAAAGACCGACAGACAGACAGAAAGAAAGAAAGAAAGAAAGAAGCAGACTAACAAAATAATCTTCAGCGATTCAAGCTGTCTACTCCTCGCTCCCCCCAAACCGCCCGTTCGATCCGATCGTGTCCTCACCCTTGCGCTCCTCGGGAAAAGAGCTGACAGCGCCACTTAAATCTGCCAGTGCATTGATCCGTCAACAGTGCCTGGACAATGGGATGAAGCGATAGAAAATCAATGTTGTTGGATACATCACCCACCAACTGGTGCTGGATATGGTCCATCCACGGTAGGTTTCCTTACAGTAAGTACCTCACCAGGGGCAGCCTCCAGCCATGAGAAAAGAAAACCCCCCCGTCTTCGCTGATTTCAAAGTGAGCCCCCCTTTAGAAAGAAAAAACGGATCCGCAGGTCGGGGCATTTCCCTGCGACGCCCGTTTTGGCCATCTCTTTGGCCAGGCGTTGGCTGTTTCGGGGAGAGCACCGCGGAGACATGAGCCGCAATGCTCCAAGGAGAAAAGTTGGCCGTGGGAATGAAGAAGTTAAGGCAAACCCGAGGAAACCTGGGAAAGAATCTTACACCCGGTGGGAGACAACATATGGCCCAGTCTCGCTTCAGGAATAGAACCTCTCAACGAACCTCAGTTGGCGAATTCCTGGAGGCCCTGAGATGAGAATTTTTGGTTGGGTCAGCAGAATCCGCAAAACTTTGGCAGTCACCACTTGATGTCAAACAAAGGCCGCGGATGTCAACCGTCAGACAGGATTCCAGGCTTTTGGCATGGAGAGCCGGGCCAGGTGAAAGAAAAGGCCGTCGGGCTTTTGAATTCAGGCCTGTGGTTCGAAAAAATCTGATGAATCCGGCTTGAAACACCATGCCCACCTCAGATTTCACCTGAATCCAACCCAACCCTCCATATGAAACGAAGGACTGGTGCCAAAGAAACCGGCTCCTTGGTTTCCTCGTCACTGGATATCACTCTCCACCGTCGCCCAAATCCTCATTCCGGGCGCCTAAATAACCTGCTGGTCAGTAGGAATGCACAGGAAGGGGATTCCCTCAAAGGAAGCCACCAGCTGGATGGTTTATGGGGGTCATTCCCTCCTTCCCTGAGAGCCAGCAATTAAAAGCCATTCTGGGAGTCAACTTGCAGCCGTTCTTTGGAACCTCCGTCTTCTCCCTTGACTTCACATACCCCAAAACTGTTTGCAGCCAAGTCATGTGGGAGTGTCTGAAAATAGGAGAACTTCCAAAATTGTGTGGGTTCCCTTTGGTTTCCCTTGAAATTCTGTCCTTTTGGTGTTCTTTTGGTGCTCCCCCCAAAAAAACAGAAAAAGTTGCTCCCTCGAACAGCTGACGTCTTCATCTCTCGTCTCTCGTGTCCTGCGGCCCAAAGCTCGTGAAGAGCAGCGGCACATCTGGAGCCAACCCCAGGGATTTTCATATTAGGGGTCATTGTCTTAAGACGGTTTCTGGGCGCGGCCGCCAGATCCGGGCGGTCCGGGGATTGTTGGGACTCATGGCCCTGGAGAGTGGAGAGTGGAAGTTGAAACAGGCATCTGGGGTCATTGCTTTTGACGGTTTCTGGGGGGTATCAACGTCAGAAAATGGAATCGGTTGCTTCCCTTTAGCGGGTGACTTTGATCATGGTAAAATAATGAGGCCAGTTGTAGGGACCAAAGCACGACTTCACTTCTGCGGAGACTTTTTGGAGTTCAATCGGATGTCCAGCGGTCAAAACAAAGATCAGCGCGTTGTTTTGCTTGGTGGTGGAGTTTAAATGGTTCAGCCCCCTTCCACAAGTTGAAAAACAGAAGCAACCCGCTGGAGGCTGGAAAGTGGCGATGAGTTTTAGCAGTTGGGACCACCTCAAAACGAGCTTGGTGGACATGAAACCCCGCCCACCGAAGCAGTTGGGGACGGTTTCGCCTTAAACCACCATTTATAGAGGGTTTCTCGATAGCGCACGTGGCGGGTGTCATTTTGGGGCGCAGCACCCTTTTCAGGTTGGCTTAGCAGCCGCAATTTCGTAGGCTCCGCTATTTGGAGACAGACCCATATTTCATATGGGTTCTCAATAAAGTGGTCCCCTGCAGATGCAGCCCATCTGATGCAGCTGTTCGTTTGGTTTTCCACTTGTCCAGGGAAGCCCTTCTGCTTTTGTCGTGTTGTCCGGCGTCCTTTCGGTCCCCTATACATACCAAAAGCGGGCCACCATTTGAGAAACATGGTCAAAACTCGCAAAACATGCGGGCCATCATAGTTGATTGGAACTAGGAACCGTTGTAGTGGCTGTCTACGATTGTACAATCCTTCTTTATGACCATCAGCAACATCAACTAAAGGATCTTAGTCGAAAAATGGGAAGCCGTGAAAGGGTCGCCTAAGAGACACGCGGTTGTCCTGACTTTGCTCTGACCCGGAAACTGGTGTGCCCATCTAGAGATACCGTCGTTTTTGCGTGTTGGAAAGGAAATCCAAGGCAAAGCCCGTCTATTTTGGGGGGAGCAGACCCATGTCATAGCAGCCTTAGCTTCCAAAATCCAAACCCCAATCCTCGCATGCCACTGGAGGTAAAACAGCTAAAGGTTCAGAACCTTTTGGCACAACAGCTCTTGGTTACTAAGTGACTCCTGAAGTTGCAGCTGTTTTGTGGAGTCCAAAACGGCACCGCAGGGGAGATGTGAACGACCATGAACCCTGCGCGTAGAAGCCTGTCCAAAGGCTTCCCGCGCATAGGACCACCTTCCTCTTGGCGCCCATCTGGGGTACACAGAAAATAATAAGTTCAGTACACGCGTTGGGCTGGTTTCAAGGAAAAACAAAGGGCGCCACCCGTGTACAGAAAGTCATTTAAGTCCAGTCCCATGAGGGGCTCCATCATCTAGTTGGAGACAAACTCGAACATCTAAAGTTTTGGGCCGGCGACCGTCCCCGGCCACCACCCCTCCACCAACCCCAGCCCCAAACGCCCTCCAACCGGCTCTCGCAAGATCCGGCGAGGCTCGCGCCTAGCTTCAGCAGCGCCGCCAGCGTGGGCAGCCAAGGGCTCGCAATGGTCAGCGCCAAGGTGCCAACCCCCGAGTTGAAGCAGACCTCGACCAAACGTTGGACCCCGCCGTATGACCTCCATTTGCTTAAGCCCCCTGGGAAAATAAAAAATGCTTCCAGTAGTGATAGATTCCCTTTAAAACCAACAGGGGAAATTAAACAAAAAAATGAGCAAATGGAAGATGGTGGACACTTAGAGCTCATTTTGCCAACCTTCATGAATCCCACTTCAGTGTTCCCCAAAAATTGGAACCCCCCCCCTCAGCCTCCCTCTCATGGAAGATTTGTCTGAAGAGGTTGAAACCTTCGCCCTCGACCAAAAACTGGACCCCCCCGCCGTCCCCTCTGCCGCATGACTTGCTGGTGCGAAATCGGTAGGGAATGAGAAATGGAATGAACCATTTGGGGATTCCCGAATAAAGGAAACCACTAGCTGGATGGTTTATAGGGATCATTCCCTCATGCTCTACTGAGCACCAGCAAGATGATGGACACTTAGGGCTCATTTTGCAACCTCCTTCATTTGGGGCATTGCTTTCGCCGGGTTCTTGGCTGCAACATATAATACTCTAAGTGTCCATGGCACACCCCCCTTCAGCCTCCCTCTAATGGGTGGTTTGCAGCCGACTGGTTTGGAGGTGTCCCGGGGTGGTTTCCAGATAGCCTCCACAAGAACGACGGGCTCAAATCAACCATCCAACTAAGGAGTACCTAACCTGGTGACCTTCAGTCGGTGCTAAAAGGCAAACCCCACTACAGCCATTTGCGGGGACTCATATTTTGAGAACCCCCCGCCCTTGGGTGTGTTGTTTGAGATGTTTTGCCTTGCAAAGGGAAACCTAAAGGTGAACGGAAGCCATTTGGGGGGGTTTGACACGGGAGCCAAGCCCAAAAGGCGAGTCACAATCAAAACCGCTCACTAACAGGGTCCACCCAAAACACGTGGTAAAGAATCTGAAGGGCGACAGCCTCTCTTTTTGCTTGCATGGGACTGTTCCGAGCAGACCTGGGTGTGTCAACGGCACTCCTGGCCAGAACCATGTGTGTACTATCTGTTTCATCGTGGGAGCTGGTTAACCGCCCAGTTGGAACCACAAACGCTCCAGGTTGAAACCTTTGAACGCTCATACCAAAAGCCATGCGCATGTTCCTATAGCACAAAACAGGTTCTCGTAAAGAACCGCCCCCCCCCAAGCCAGAAACCCTCAAGTTGCGATCGCTCCATTGCGTTGTGGTGCCGTCCATGTCCAGATTCGGGACCGAATCGCGAAGAAAAAGGCGACCAGCCCCGTGGGTTGCCGGTTACAACCCAAAACACAAAGAATCAAAAAAGTGGCCCCGCAAAAAATGGTCGTCCCCATTTGAGAAGCTTTCCTGTGAAAGCTTCTGCCACCCTCCCAACAAAAGCGGCCATGGTTCTGGGTTGGTCAATCTTCCAACAAATGGAATTCCTCTGTTCCTTGGTCGTCTTGTGGAGCTTCGGAACCACCTTGCTTTGCTTTTTCAGGGTCGCCAAAAGCATGGGCGCAAAAACCAGTCCAGCCCGCCCTCCTTCCGCCAAGCGGCTGCCAGATCCGGGCGGTCCGGGGATTGTTGGGTGAACTCATGCCCCTGGAGAGTGGAGAGCGGAGGAAGTTGAAACAGGCATATGGCTGTGGGTCAAAATCCCGTACCCTCAGTGAACATCCCAATCCCCACTAAAATAGGCTCTAAACTGGGTGGTGCACCTGCCCCAAAATGGTACCATTGGTTTTGACCCATAGCCATATGGCTGTGGTTCCTCCTTTTTGTTCAGGGTACCCTCCCTCCAGCAATCATGAAATCATAGAATGGTTGAATCATGGCAGCTGACAAGGTTTTGGAAGACTACTTTTTGGAGAATCCCCATGTCCAGCTCCATTGTCGGAAAGAGGGTGCCTTGTTTTATTTTCTAGCTTTAAAGGATATCCAAAGTGGTATCAGTAATTGTCCGACACACCCATAGTTGGTTTAGAACATTGATACCACCATCCCCATGACGGCAAAAAAAGCACACCAAAACCTCTTTGCAGAGGATTCCCTAAGTACATTCCTGACTGGGCTGTTTTCAGATCCCCCGCTAAAAGCTTAACTTTTAGTGGGTTAAATGGAAACTACCACTAAACACTAAAAGGCCAAAAAGCTAACGGGATGGCTGGGAGCCACCAAGCTGACCATCAATTTATGGATTTATGGGACACTCGAGCAGTTCACCCCCGAACTGCGGGGGCCATGGGAGGAGCTTGCTTTGGCTCCGGAGAGTTTGCATCTATGCGACAACCGGCGGTAGTCAGCGGAAAAGATTTGCTTTTTGTTCGTTCAACCTCTGTTTGATTGCTAATTCGAAGGGGGGCCCTTTTCAAACCGAAGGGGGACACTTTTCAACCCGGTGGAAATAAATTACATGAACTCGCCAACTGAATTCCCACCTGCGTTCAAATGGGCCCTGGCGACGGGTCTAAAGCCCCGGCCGCCCTTTGGCGCCTGCAGTCGTAGCCCCTGCACTTCCACTTCCGGCGATCTGCGATCGGAAAAGTCAAGCCCCACAGCAATCCACTTCCTGACATATTGATGATATAAATAATCATGATATGAATATCCCAAGAATCTGGTCATGTCCTAATGGCCCTGTCTACAAAACAAAAAAACATGGTTGGTCTCCTTTTTGGTTACCCCCTGAACCAAGCCGTATATACCGAGCTCCAACCAAATGTATTCAATAAACAACACCGAAATAGGTTTGTCTCAAGATTAGAGACCCCCCAAAAATGGTGGTGTTGCTTTCGGCTTCCCCTTCAAACCAAGAAAAACAGGGTGTCCCCAGAAAAGAGACAGCCAAATGAAGGCGGCGATTCACCTTCGCAAACATGGCCGAAATGTCCCCTGCAAATTTGGGCCAGCCCCCTTGAAACATGTTCAAAAAAATCAACCTGAATTCACTTTCAACGGCTGGATGTTTAAATGATATATGCCGAGGAACGTGGCGTTCAAGAAAAACACCACTGCCTTTCCGTTGAACCGGGGGCCCAGGGGGCTGCCTCGTGAGGTCTCCCTCTCGCATCTCAGGGCCGATCAGCCGAAGCTTCCAGCGGAGGCTGGGGAAGGCCTGCGCAGCGTGCTGTTTGGACCTGGGGTGGGGCTGGGGGTGGGAGTGGGGTGGGCTGTCCAAACTGATCCTGCTAAAAGTGAATGACTTTTAGTGGGTCAAGTGGAAACCCCCCTAAAAACACCCTAAAAACCTAGGGAGCCGGATGCTGGGAGCCACCAAAGAACTAGGGTTCCAGTTTTTGAGTACCCCACAGACTTGAACCCGGAGCTTGTATCACAAATGGAATGATTCAAATTAGGGAGTAAATATCGAAGCATCGGAGGAGGAGGGGGCAACCCCTAATCCTAATGCGCAAGGAAAGCCATCGAAACCTGCCTTAAGGATCCTTAAGGCTCCTTGGGATGGATTCGGCCGGGAAAACATTCGTGACAGCTTGGAGCAGATGACAACACTTGGACCACCACCAAGCACATGGGGCCTCCTTGATGGTTCGCAACGGCCGACCGCACCACAGGTCTCAAACAGCTGGCATGGCCAAATGATGGCCCATAGATTGGGACCAAGCGATGTCCAAGTGGCGTGAGGTGTTGGTAGTGTTGAGCCCACTAAACTGGTTCTGCTAATGGGGGAAATGTTCCATTCGAAAGTGACGAATCTCCAGCAAAACCCTATTGATCAACCAGAGCGTTTGTTACCTCAACCAGGGAGTTTGTTAATCCGGGGTCAACACTAATCGCGAGTTCCTGAAAAACGCCATGGTTCTAAGATGGTCTCGACTGCGCCCAAACATCTACCCCAGGGAAATGTCGGGGGACAAATCCTTTTACGGATATCTTCGGACATAATGAAGTGGCTGCATACCAGCGCTCGCCGAACCATGTGGGTTTGTCTCAAAATGAGGAAATCGACGGTCCGCACAAACGCAGGTTCCCCCAAAGACACGCTCCAAGTGGCTGTGCGTCAGCTTAAGCAATAAGTAGCTCGCAGCGTTCATGCCGACCGTAAAAACAAGAAAGATATGGCTAATCCACCAGGCATTCGTAGGAAACAAGAGATCAGTGATGAATCAATGTATAATCATAGTGTATCTGCAGTCTTACCTCCTCGAATCATGGACCTTGCAAGCCTTGACAAGTCATCTTTGGCGTCAAGAGCATAAGTACTGCATCGCACTGGAGCAGAACACACTGGGATCCCCAAGTCTCACGTCAACAATATGAAAGCTCGCTTCACGTTGTCCTACAGGCTGAGACGGTTTGATGGGGCACTTCAAAAAGAGACCTGAAAAGAGCAAAAGCAATTTGACTAGTTGGATTACAACCCCCTTTTTGTAAGGAAAAAGCAACCCGTCCTAAAGGTTATGGGTTGAACTTGAGGGGGCGCCTCAATATCAATTGAATCCGGGTCGGACAGGAACCTCAGAAATTCCTGTCGCGGTAGTTCGAAATGGAAAATACAAGGAACAGATCTGAGAAAATGCCAACCACAAATAACAGACCCATCAACCAAAAAGTGCAAAAAAAAAAAAACAGGCCCCTCCACCAAAAGATGCGAGAAAAACAAGGAACAAACAGACCCGTCCACCAAAAGACCTGCTAGGCCCGTAAATTACGATGGCCCACGCCTCTCACCTCTAACCTCTCGGACCCCGCCCGTAAGCCACCGACGGGCCATGGGTCGTTCGGCTTCTCGGCTCGCGCTTCGCCTCCAGCAGCCAGTCCCAGGCGCCCTCCTGGGGAGAGGAGCCACGTGTCCGCATCTTGAGCCGTGAGACCCTCGCTTTGGGGGGAGAGTTTGTTTTTTTTTCAGGGAAAACGAAAGGAACCTGCCAGCGACTTGCTCATTGTGTGGGTGAAAGGACTTTTGCTGTATTCCACATACATTCTGGCAGATGAATGGTATAGGAACCGTAAATACCGTTCATTTGTTGGAACAGAATCTCCTGTTGGAGAAACGGACCCTCTTCTCGGGCTCTAGGTTGATTTGCCGGAGAGTAATGCCAAAAGGGAAAGCAACAGCAACACCAAATGTCCCCCATGTCCGTTTTTCCAAAAGGGATCCAACCTGATTTAAATGCTTGACTCAACCCGAAGCGGGGTTCTAACCCCAAACTGCAAGTTGCGCCATGCCTTCATCTTCAAAGGGGACATCAAAAGCAAACCCACGTTTTTGGGGGTTCCACCAAAAAACAAGACCCCCCATCGACTTTTGGTAGGGTCTCACAAAAGCCCTTGGACTCGGTGGCGTGCATTTGTTTTCCCTTTAAACCACAAGAAAAGGGAAAGCCACTTGGGTGTTATTTGTTTCAAAGGACCTTTTCCATTTGTTTTCCCTTTAAACCAGCAAGTGGGTTTACCTTTCATTGTTTTTCCCCAAAAAGGGTACCTCAGAAACGATAAACCCACTTGCCACGACTTGCCACGACTTGCCTTTTGAAAGACTACTGTGCGGTTCTCTTGCCGCATCAAACTGTCCGCGCAAAAAGTGGCATACAGCCCACGCACGCACAATGCAGCAACACCAACTGGTGCTTTTCTGAAGGTAACCCCTCGTTGGGACATTCTTTAAAGGGCAACCAAAAGGACAACACCCATTTTGGGCTCCTCCATTGACATATCTTTACCTCCAGCCGAAGACCGGCCTTCAACGTCAAAGGTGGCCGCTTTCACATGCGGCTGTTGGATTGCCCCCTTTGTCAACCTCACAGGCTCCAATTCCACTCTGTCATGGCGAATCATGTTCACCCTATGAACTCATGGAACTCATCGGGTCTCAAGAGGAACATGGTGGGCATGTCAGCGTTTTAGTCTTGAAGGGGAACCCAAGATGGATGGGTCGGTTCGGTTTCTCAAACCCCAAAACGAGCACGCCTCAAAGACACCCAGAAGAGCTTCCCCACCCGACAGAAGGTTTGGGAATCCAGATCTGGACTCGGCTACTCGAAATCTAATCGGAACCCAGGATTGGTAAACTGTCGGTGGATTGATCAGCTGCCAGGAGGAAATCCTTCACCTCCGGGAAAAACAGCCCAAAGATCCACAAAGTCGCTATCCGGAAACCAACAAGGAAGAAGAGGCCCCACACGTCTGGTATAAAAAATATTTTTTTGCGCTGCGGAAACTTGATCTATGTGGGCGATTGTGCTGGGTCCAGTCAGGTGACATCCTCCAAATTACCCCCAAATATGCGTTGAAAGGGAAGCACGCCCTGAAATAATGCTGAGAGTAAATCATCCCTTGAATGGACCCAGTTGTGGCTCAGTTTCCCTTTGAAAGCGCCGTTTCCTGATATGCGCTCGCCCATGGGAACCCCCCGAACTCCGTGGTTTCCCATTATCCTTCACACACACACACACCCTTCCCCCCCCAAAAAAAAAGCTGCCACGTCAACCAAAATTCCCCCTACATAAAAAGGGCGTGTCCCTTTTGGGGGGGAACCTTTTGTCGGTTGAAAGCAAAAGGTTCAGGTTGAAACCAAAGTTGAAATCAAAAAGTTGAAATCAAAAAGGTTGAAACCAAAAACCTTTTGTGGGTATTTCAGGTTGACACCAAAAGGACACCGACCCTTCCACGCCCCAGACCTTCGCCGCGAGCGAATTCGCTCGCCGCTCCTCGGCCAGCCAGCCCTCCATGCCGGTGCGCGCCCCGAGGATCCAAACCTCCACCCTGAGCAGGGGGGAAGACCTCTGAGCCGACTTTTTTTCGGGCCGGGGCAACATGGGTTGGCGTTCCGGATTCCTCACTAGGTGAAACTTGGAACTTCGTTGCCGGTTCTAGGCAAGCTGTGCACGTCCGGCTTAAGGATGGCCACGTACTCATGGAGATGGAGGAAATGGTGACCTTCTTTGCAGAACCCTGGTTCAAGTCGGGCTCTGACCGGGGGAACCAAGCTCTGTTTCTGAGTTTGCGAGGGCCAAGTTCAACTTTTGCTGACCGGACCACTTGCCTTGGTTTTCCGGACGATTTACAAGACTGGTGCCGTTTATTTTCGGAATATGGGTGCAAGCGAGTCAAACATCCATTCTATGGTACTTGTAACTTGTAGAAAGCTTTCTTGTCTGCAAGCACATGCATGGGGGGCGCGAACTACTCCGGCATGACACAGTGTTGTTCAGATATGATATGATACCACCTTATGACACCACTCTGGGTATCGACGTCCTGGAGTGCCACTCACGCTTTCATAGCCAGAAACAAGGAATCCCTTAACTATTTGTTTATCTCTTGCTTGTCAACTTTTTAGTCGAATGGGTAATAAACCATAACATCCTCCCCATGTTCACTGTGATACTGAGCATGGACAAGATTCTGCGTGCATTTTGTTCATGCACAGCATTGGGGAAACGAAAAAGACCAATGGGTATGTGTCAAAGTAGATTTGCGCCCCCCAAAAAAATCAAACACACAGACCACACATGGAAGAGGCAAACTCGGAAAACCACAGGAAAACCTTAAGAAAACCTGAAGAAAACCAGGACATAGGAAAAACCATCGTTAAAAAAGAAAAGCCCCGCACCAGCTCGTCCATCGCTTTTCTGATCCGTGCCTCGGAAAAGAAGCCGGAGGCGAGGGCAGCTGTGCGAGGGCCTGAGCGAGCGAGACGGGACGCAGGGATGAGGGGTGTGTTGAAAATAGGGGGAACCCCAATTATTCCTATGGTTGTCAGGGAACGCCCAGAGAAGCAACCCCCTGGCAATAGTCCCAAAAAGGAACCGCATTAGATTCGTCTGGATTCGCGTATCATTCCTTTTATGTCCATGTATTTCAAAATGGAAAATGCGTCAATAAATATGTGATTTGCAGGATCAAGGGAGCCCCAAACATGGCTTTCATTTGATCTCTCCTGTAAACCAAAGGGGGTCACACAAAAAGCGACACAGCCATATGGGTGTGCTCCTGGTGTGTGTGTGTGTGTGCTAAGCCGGTCTCTGGTTATGGGTGCTATGGTTTAGGTCCTTTGCTTCTGGGATGGTACCATTTAAAACCTTTAACAAACAGGTGTGCGCGAAAAGGAAACTCTATGAAGATTGGCCTTTCCAAAGGGTCAAAACCACCCTAGGAATATGCGTGGAGCCCTTGAAGCAA